CCCGCCCCCTCGGTAGGGATGGTGTCTCTAGCGGGCATGGAGATGACTGCCTAGAGGCCAGGGTTAGCCAGCTTGCCAGGAAGTCGTGGCAGGGCCCAGGGCTCCACGTGTAACCAGCTGTCCAGCTGGCAAGGAAAGGCCACTAGGGCTCTTGGAGAAAACGGTTCCCTGCATGGAGGTTCGGACCCCCTGGTTTTTGACCCCAGGAAAGACAAGGGCGACCCCACATGTAGGGAGCGGGTGTGGACACTCCCTCGTGTTGGCGCACAGCAAGCTTCGCGAGGACCATCACCCTTTTGTTGACACTTTCCAGCTGGCATCGTGACAGTTGCCTGGGCGCCAGGCTCAACCAGCTGGCAGGGTCTTAGTTGCAGGGCCCAGGGTTCCAGGTGTAACTGGTTACCCAGTAGAGAGGGGCCCTTGGGGGAAAATGGACCCGGCAAGGGCGTAAGGACCCCCGAGGGTGGGCCCCCAGCAAGCTGCTACCTCCAGTCAGAAGGTGTCACACGCCCAAAGCCAACTTCTCTCCAATGTGCCAGGGGCGGCCCAGGAGGACTGCGAATAAAGGCCGTGTCCTGGATGCAGATACTGGCTAACGAAGGACCTTCTCCAGGTACCTGCAGGAGTCGCCAAACAATGGCCTTGAGCTTTGTCAGGTGCCCAGCGACCATTTCTTTATCAGCTGGGATGTAGATGGCAGATTTTATCATTCCTCCATCGATTGGACCAACTGGAGACTGACTTGGAGGAAAAATGGACATGACCTGGGATCAGGGCCTCTGTGGGGTAAATACATGGCTCTCCCACCACCTGTGACGGGACAGGCCAGAGGGCCCCTGGCCAGAAGGAATGTGTATTGTTTGGGGAATGGATTGTAACTCCCTCCAAATCTCCTTTTGGGAGTGGCCTCTTGTCCTGTGACTGCTTCTTGGCCTTTTCCTTCTACCCTGTGCACAGTGGTATCATGTCGCTCTGGGCCGCACGTAGGTTTGTGTAACCTGGGCCCGTGCCGCCTTTGTCCGGGGCCCCTTATTCGGAGCCTCACACTCAGGAGTGCGGGCTCTCTTGCACCGACCCACCGCCATCGGTGCACTCCCCTGTAATGCGAGTGAAAAACTCTATGTCCACCTCCACTGGGCCTCCGGGTGGTTTTTCCAGAATATCACCAACACTTAAGCAGCTCCCCTGTGTGGGGCTCCTGTGCTACAGCCTCAGTGAGGGGCGGTGAAGGTGTTTGTGTTGGCAGACACACCTGTGCTGTATAAGTGACCCCATGGTCATGGGACAGGGCATAGGCTCCCGGCCCACATAGGTTGATTTTGTTTTCCTGGGAATTTTGAATTGAATCAAGGAGAGAACTAATGGATTTCTCCGTGTGGCTCACCTACAAAGGACTCCAGCACTGCCCGTGGCAAGGGGGCTCTTCACTGCTGTGAGGCAGCCAGTGCGGGGAGCAGCAGAGACGGCAGTGCTCCAAGGGCAGAAGGAGGCTGCTTTGCAGAGGCAGGGGGTGGGTGGGGCAGCACTTGAATTGTTTCCAGTTTGGGGCTGTTGCACACAAAGCTACTAGGAGCATTTGTAAACGAGGTTTTTTGCAAACATGTTTTTATTTCTCTGGGAGTAATGCCCAGGAGTGCAATTGCTGCAAGTATTGTAAGTATACGTTTGAAACTGACAGACTGTTTTCAGGAGTGGCTGTACCATTTTACATTCACACCATCTGTGTGTGAGAATTCCAGCGTCTCTACTTCCTGGCCAGCATTTGGTATCGCCATTTTTTATTTTACCTATTCTAATACAGTTATATATCATTGTCATCTTAAATTGCGTTTTCTTTATTGCTAGTAAGGTTGAACAATTTTTTTCCTGTGTATGTTTGTTGTCTGCGTATCCTCATTGATGCAATATTCCTTCATATCTTTGCCCATTTTCTAATCGGTGTGTGTGTGTTTACTGTCAAGTTTTGATATAAATTACCTTGTTTTGTTAACCAGTTTGAAATGAGCCTCTGTTCCTTGCAAACTCATGGGTATTCTACTTTTGTCTTTAATAAAACCACCTCAGCATGGTTTTACCCTTTGGACTTGATGTTTGGCACACTGGCCTCCCAAAATCGTGTTTCTTTCTTTGTTCTAACACCATACGACTTTATGCCACTGCAAGGAAGCCCCGGAACACTCCCGTCCAGGGAGGCCCCAGCGGCTGTGGCCCCACCTCCTCCCCTTCTTCCCAGTAATATTTCCCCTCCCCAAGAAAAGTTCAGCTCTAGCCTCAGTACTCAACAGCCAGGCTGTTTGCAATTTACCTTTCCTCTCTGTCTCTGGGGTGGCAGGCAAAGCCCTTTCTCACAAGGCTGTTGGGAGATTTGCTGATTCAATATTACCAGGAAGAGGGAAAGGGGATTTATTGTTTCGTGGCTACATAGTTTTAGCTTGGGAAGATGAAAAGTTCTGGATAGTGACGATGGTAGCACAACACTGTGGGAGAGATATATATATATACACACATATATATCCATCTATATGTGTGTGTGTGTGTGTATATAGGTATATGTATATATATCCATCTATTTCCCATCATAGCTAGTGCTCAGATGGTAGCAGCTAATTTGAGAAATGAGGCAGCAGCCTTCCCCACTACCCTTTGCCCCCACCCTGGGCTCTGCTCCCAGGTCATGATGTCCTGTCCCTGCTGTTCCCCCGCCCTGTCCCAGCCCCACCCTTCCACCAGTTAGGGGGACACAGACAGAGGGCTCCCCTCCCTTGGTAGCACAGGCTCTCTCATTGGCTGCCATCACCATGGCAACTCACTGCCTCCTTCCCCCATCCCCTCACTTTCCGGAGCCGGCAGATTTGTGGAGTCCCAGGCTCCTCGGGGTTGGGAGGGAAGAGGAAAAAGGGATGGGGGAGGGGAGAGAGGCTCTCGGGCCCAGGTTTGCCCAGTTCCGACTCCAACCCGGTGCACAGTGTGGCCTCTCCTGTCTCCTGTGTGGAGAAGCCATTCCGACACCCTTAGGTACACCCGCTGCGCTCTGGCATGGGCCAGCTCAGGGCCCCGGGGGCCTGGGTTAGCGGCATGAGGCAGGCATGATAAGCGTGTTGTTCAAACAGAAGAATGGTCTCCTGCCGCTCCCCTTACGGCACTGCTGGGGGTGACACGCGGGCCCCAGTGTGGCTGAGCTCTGAAGCCTCCAAAGCTGTCGTTTTTGTTAAACCTGCCACCGCTGGGTGTGGTTGGTCGGAGGGGCAGCCTAACAGGTGCTCTCCCCAGATGTAAAGTGGGGGGTTAGGAGATACACGCCCACATGGGATCCCCCTGGAGAGCCACATAGGACACTGGGTAGTGAGAGCCCAACCAGTGGGTCCCAGCTGTGGGGTGCAGGCCAGGGTCAGTGCCGGGCCTGAGAACCTCCTGCTTCCCCAGCCGCCTGCAGAGGGACCGCACGACCTGTCTCCACGCATGCAAGGGTCATGTGTGCTCTTGTAGTTTAAAAGCATAATTTAAAGGCACGGGCTGAATTCAAGGTAACCTTTTGTCATGATGTGTATTCTCAGTCAGGGGCGTGGTGGTAGAGGGTGAGGGTCCATGAAATTGATTGGAGTTGAACAAACCCTCCTTGAAAAGGGTGAAGCCACACAATTCTGACACAGGCTACAGTGTGGATGAACCTTGAGGACATGATGCTGAGTGAGATAAGCGAGAAACAGAAGGACGGATATTGTGTGATTCCACTTACATGAGGTAATACATGAGGTAATGAATTTGCTAGAATAGGCAAATTCATTGAGACAAAAAGTAGATTAGAGGTCGGGGCAGGGGGTGTGGCGGGGGAGGCACGGGGCGTCAGTGCTTCATGGCCCCAGAATTCGCTCGGGGAGGTAAAACAGCTCTGAAGAGGGGCGGCAGTGGCGGCAGCACAGCAGTGTGAGTGTCCTTAACGCCGCTGAACTGTGCACGTAGACATGATTAAAATAATAATTTTTATGTTATGTATATTTTACTACAATAAAGTGTATCCCCCCCAAAAAAAGGGCGCGAGGCAAGGCTGGGTGGCGGAGCCTCTGTACCTGCCGTGGGGGTGCGGGACAGAGGACACGCCCAGGGAGGCTGTGACGGGGGAAGCAGGCTGGAGAAAGGGGGCTCTCTCCACAGGCTGTCTCCCCCCCAACTGCCTCACCCGGCCCCCTCCCGCTGCCTGGCTCAGGGTCAGCAGTTTGTGAAGGTTGCAGCAGAGGCTCCCTGCCCCCATTCCCCACGGGAACTGAAGAAGCCACCTTGGGTGACCCATCGCCTCCCCTCAGGGTTCCTCCTCATTTAAGAACCCCGCCCCCAGGTTAGCGATGACCCTCAGCTTCAGCCCCGATTAGGAAGGTCGGGGTGGAAGGCCCATGTGGGCTGGCTGGGCAGTGAGGACCCACCGGCGCCTGCCAAGTAGCCACGGCACAGGGGTGGCCAACACCACAGCGAGGCGGTGATGGGGAAGCCCTGCTTCCCTGGGACCCCTGTGCTGCACCTCCCAGTCCCCAGGGCCTGGGGCACCTGCAGTCCTTCCCTGCCTTCCGAGTCCCTGTTCAAACCCACCATCCCTTCTGACGGAGCTGGAAACGCCCCAAGCCCTCCGGGAAGCTATTTTTAGGATTCATCTGCGCTTTCTGATTTCTCCTCTGGATTCCATATTCTCCCACCCCCAGATCCGAAAGAGCTAACGATCCTGGAAATCATTCATCAGTCCCCCTCTCCAGGTGCTCTCGCTCGCGGCTTGCAAGCTGTGCCTTCACCCCCACCTTCCCCGGCCACTCCCTCTTTCTTTCTTCATCCCCACCCTCACCCTCCGGTCCTCCAGCTCCACAGGCAGCAGGGAAAGCAGGCTATTTGTCTGACATCATCTTCCACTCCCTGGCCTGCTAAGAGTTACTCACTCAGGCAATCCCTGCTCCGCCAGAGGAGACTGTCCAATTGCCAAGCAACCCACTGTTGGCCAATCACAGAGCTCAAAGGTGATGTCATGGCGAGAGCAGAGCCGTGGTGCTGATGTGGAGAGAAGCGCAGGGTACCACTTAATTGAGGGAGTGAGGAAGGGAGCAGCTCGCTTCTAACTGGACTGCAGGTAAGTAGAAATAAAATGCAAATTATTTCAGGCTTTTCAGATAAAAGAAAAAGTAAACCAGCAGCCGCAAAGAGGAGAAGCAGCGAGGGGTCTGGCACCTATTGTATTGCCTTTTGGTTCCGCTCAATCAATTAAACTTTGTCAAATCCTGGGGGAAATTGGGTGAGGAGAAAAGAATGGCCTTGGTGGAGGGGTGCGGGTGGGCTGCGGTCGTTCCTTCCATTCCAGAGCTCAGGAGAGAGAGGATGGGCGGGAATTGCCTGGGTCAGTTGCCCCTGGTGAGTTTTTTTTCTGCATAAAAATGTTTGTTGCCGGGGAGAAAGGTTTTGCTCAGAGTCCAGCTTCCCTGGAGCTGACTCCGACCCCCAGGCCCCTTTCAAGCTGGAAGCTGCCCCGTGTTTTACGTTTCCTTTCTCAGCCCAGCTTTCCCCCTCTCCCTTCCCTTTTGTATCATCCATCTCTTTCTCCTCTGTCTGCATGGAGTTACTTTTTTCTCCTGATCCTAAGGAAACAATGAGATCACCACCTCTTCCTTGCCCCGCCCCACTCTGAGGTCAACCCCATCCTACCTGGGCAGGGTGGCTGGCTGTACAGCTGCAAACTGCCACACCCTGGTCCCTGCTTTTGGCCGAGCCAGGCCCCTCCTCACCCAGCCCACCACCCTCACACTGCCCTCTCCGCATGCAGGACCCAGGGATTTGATGTCCAGTGGCCAGCTATCCCCACGTGGTGGTGCTGTCTTTGTTTAATTCCTCCCAGGAAGACAGAGTCAGGTGTGGAGGAGTCCCATTGTCCTGAAAAAGGGCAGGTCTTCAGATCCCCTTGAGGGGCTCAGAAATGTTCAGGCAGCCCATGTCCGAACACCAGGGCATGGAGACCTGTGTTTCAAGGCCAAGAGAATCACAGGAGGGGTGGCCAGGGGTGGCCTGCAGGGAGGGTGGGAGCTTGACATGGAAGGGTGGGGGAATCTCTCTCTACTGAGGCTGAGGCCCCCTCTAGGGGGAGGAAACCCCTCCCACAGGCAGGGAGTCAGGGTGCTGGGGGAATGAGATCATCTGTCAGGTGAGGAAATAATCACAGTGCTGGAGCAAGCAGCGAGGAGGCAGAGGCGAAAGGTCTAATCAGCGGAGCTCGGGTCTCTCAGACATCCTGCTCTGTCCTTTAGGGCAGGCCAAATCCCCTCTTTTCCACTCGCCCAAAACCCCCTCTTGCTTTCTGGAACCACCCCTTCACGTCTCCTGCACCTGCGCCCCTGTCAGCAGGTCCGAGCCTTTCTGGGACAGATTTGGAATGGGTGAGAATCTGTAATTGCTATGTAGATCCACCATAGAGCTTTGTAGGGAGTGAGTTCCCCATCACAAAAGGCATTCAAGCAGACATGGGATTACCACCAGCAGGGTGGCTTTAGAGGAGATTTCTGTATTGTGTTGGAGACTGGTCTAAATTAATATTTTTCAAACTGTAGATTGAGATCCATTAGTGGATTGTGAAATCATTTGTGGATTGTCACTGGTATTTTTTTTAATAGAATGGGACAAAAGAGTGTAAAAAAGTCAGAACGCATCTAATATAGTAAATAATGTTTCCTGTACCATTTTTTGTTATATATATGTATATATAGATATATATCAATATATTTATATATCTATATTTATGCTTATATTTCAGTTATGTAAACGTGTGTGTACAAATATGTATGTATCAGTGACGATATATATATCAGTAGCATGACATAATCATACTGGATAATGTAACACTTTATTATGGATCCCAGTAAAAAAAAGTTTTGAGAAACATTGGGCTGAGAAACCTCTAATTTCTTTTTTCTAACTATAATACTGTAAACCTATGGACAACTCTTACTAGCCTATAAGCTTCTTTTAAAATTTTTTTTATTTTTAATTTGGTAAAATGCACATAATATGAAATTTACCATTTTAATCACTTTTAAGTGTATCGTTCAGTGGCATTAAGTACATTTCCAATGTTGTCACCATCGTCACCATCCATCTTCAGAACTTTTTCCTCTTTTCAAACTAAAACTTTGTCCCCCTTCAACGATACCTGTTCGTTCCCCTGCCCCCAGTCCATGGCAACCCTCCTTCTACGTTCTGTCATGGAAGTGGGATCACGCAGCTTTGACTTTTTGTGATGGCTTATTTCACTTAGCATAATGTCCTCAAGGTCCGCCCATGTTGTAGACTTCACTTCACTTGCAAGGAGAACTGTCTTGTTCATATGTGTCCTTATCACCAGGTACAAAATAAGTGCCCAAAAGTACAACTAAATGGAAAATGTTACATCTCTTTAGGGAGATACTTTGTTCTAAGGATATTAATGATAGAGAAGTCTTGTGTCCTGAGCAGACACACTGTTGGCGGTGGGTTAGTGGGAGGGTCTTACATTTTTGCTTAATACCTAGATTTCATTTGGCTCCATAAAAGAAATCCAAGAGCCAAGTGAGGTTGGCTGCCTTCTCTCATCCCACCGACCAGGCCATTTGAACCACATTCTCCCTGCGGGACAAAAGTGGGATGACTGATGAGATTTAAAATAGAGCAACAAAGATTAATGAACCAAGATCTAGAGAGAAACAAGGGACACAGGGCAAAGAAGGAAGGCGGGGCAGGGAGAGAGAGCGTTGTCATTGACCCAACCATATAGAAAGAACAGGAAAATTCAGATCTTTTATGTTCTTGATTTTAAATAATTGGATATTTAAAAAATAAAGATCATAACAAAAAAAAGGCTTAATTTTCCATAAACCTCTAAGATCGCCCCTAGACCTCATAGATATTTTTGTATTATTAAACGTACCTGAAGTTTCCCATTGGAGGCATAGAATTCCCAGAAATTTTGAGGTCATGTAGTTAGAAATGAGACTTTATTGCAGGGGGATACACATTGGAGGGAAATTATAAAATATGCAAAATGTAATTTTGATAATGTAATTTTAATAATTTTTGTAAGAACCAAACACTCTCTTTTTCTCTCCCTCTCTCAGCATATACAATTTAGTGTGCTTATAAAGTTAGACTTTGCTATATTTAGAGATGTGATAGTCTGGAAAAGGTTACTCTCAGTTTTCTTTGGTGAGAAGTAAAGACCAAAAAAATCTTTCCTTCCACTTTAAAAAGTATTTATCGTTTGGAGGGATTTTTTTTATTTTTTTTTCTTTTGCATTTTTAGTCCCACGAGAAGGACAGAAAGACAGACAGATGTAGGTGTATTAACCCCCGCCTCCATACACCCTCTCCACCTTCCCCACCCAGGCTCACTGGCCTTTTCCATGAATTAAAACTGACAGCCGTGGGTCCACCTGCCTAGGGTCCTGCCGTCAGAGGTGGGTGGTGGGAAGCAGGAGGACAGAACAGATCGGACGGGGCAGGAGTCTGGGGTGGCTGGCCCAGGTAATGGCAGGGCACAGGCAACCTGGGAGTCCAGAGAACAAACCAGGGAATGCAAATCCAGAAAAAAGGTCCGAGCTCAGACTCGCAGGGGTGTCCAGCCCGCGGCTGCCTGCCGCCCAGGATGGCGATGAATGGGGCCCAACACAGAATCGTAAATTTACTTAAAACCATTTTTTGGCTCACCAGTGTTTGTGTGTTTAATGTGTGGCCCAAGACAACTCTTCTTCTTCTTCTAGCATGGGGCAGAGATGCCAGACGGTTGGACACCCCTGCTACGGTGAAAGACCCAGTGGGGAAAGGGGATGAGCAAATGCCAGTGGATCATTTGGGTGTCTGCACCCAGAAATCCAGGCTAAGTAGGGAGCAAAGCTCAAATTGAGTCTAGCAGTTCTCTCTTATTTGCTGTTTCGCTTTTCACAGTTTCAATGACCCTCGGTCAACAGTAGTTTAAAATTATTAAATGGAAAATTCCAGAAATAAGTAATCCATAAAATTTAACTTGCATGCCGTTCTGGGTAGCATCATGAAATCTCACTCTGTCCCGCTCTGTCCTGCCTGGGGTGTCCAGAGTTTCCACCTGTATTCACTCCCCACCCATGGGGCATCTCCATTACCGAATCGCCTGCCCTGTTAGCGCAGTTATGTGTTCAGGCAGCCCTCACTGTACTTAATAATGGCCCCCACGTGCAAGGTTAGTGCTGCTGGCAGTCACGTATGTCAAAAGAAGCCGTAAAGTGCTTCCTTTAAGTGAAAAGGTATGTATGTGCAGGAAAAAACAGTCTATATAGTGTTCAGTGCTATCCACAGTTTCAGGCATTAACTAGGGTCCAGAGCTTATCCCAACAGTTAAAGGAGGACCAGCGTATGTGGAAACAGGTGGACAGGCTCTGCCTCCTGGCAGGACAAACACAGCCTGACTATTGATACTGGACAGGTCTGTCTGTCTTCTGCACCTACCACCAAACAGGATTCATAAGGACTCAACAGGTATTTCATGAGTCCTTCCTAGAAAAAAAATTATCCCAGAAGTTGTCTAATTTTTTTAATCCAAAATTTTTTTTATCAAATTAGAGAACTCTGGTACAAAAAAGATATTGATAATGGTCATAAAGAAAGAAAACACTAGAATATAGAGTCATTGTCTAATTGTCATCAACACATTTATAAAGCAGAATGCCATTTATTTGTATTGCCATTGCCAAATATCTTGAGGCTAGGAAATATGTCTGTTAAATTTATCATTGTATTCCTAGTACCTCACATAGTGCTTATAGTAGGTTCTCAATAAATAAATCAATAACAGTAATTTGTAACTGAAAACCCAGATTATTCTGACAAAACCACTTCACACAAAGAAAACCATTAGATACTGTTTTATTCTCAATGTAGTGAAATATAGGTATAAATGATATTAACTTAAAGGTAAAAACAAGATGTAAAACTTGCAAAGCATTGGAGAATGAGAGAACAAAGAAAACAAGAATATTATCGCAAAAGATAAGAGTCCACCTTTAGTGCAGCGAAGTGCAGGCCTGAGCGCTGGCTCCGCTACCGTTTAACCTTGGGTAAGGCGCTGGATCTCTTGAGCTC